AGTGGCCGACAAGGAAGAGATTCCCCCCGAAAGGGGGTGCAATCGAAGACGAAATGGGCGGGTATCGCGGGTTGGGGTATACGGAATGCAAGACACGCGTGCCAGTAAGAGCGAGCAGTATCAAACTGATTTTTGTTGTTGTGGTTGTTGTTATCGTTCTTGTTGTTTTCGTTATTGCTGAGGTTGTTGTTGTTGTTGTTATTGTTGTTGCTGTCGTGATGGTCGTTGTCGTTGTCGTTGTCGTCGTCGTTGGCGTTGTCGTCGTCGTCGTCGTTGTTGGTGCTGCTGTTGCTGTTGTTGTTGTTGCTGCTGTAGTTATTATTGTGGTTTTGGTTGTGGTTGCGGTTGTGGTTGCTGTTTGTGTTGTTGTTGTGGTCGTTGTTGTTGCTGTTGTTGTTGTTGTCGTTGTTTTTTTTTGGGTGTGGTTGTGGTTGTTGTTGCAGATGTTAGTGTTGCTGTTGCTGCTGCTGTTGCTGTTGTTATTGTTGTTGTGATTGTTGTTATTGTCGTTGTTGCTACTGGTATTGTTGCTGTTGTTGCTTGTATTGCCGCTGTTGTTGCGGTTGATGTTGCTGTTGTTGTGGTTGTTGTTGTTGCTGTTGTTGTTGCTGCTGTTGTTGTACTCTCTTTTCTGATGAATAACTGTTGTTAATCCCCCCCGCCTGGTAGCCATTGCATATTGCAATTCAAGTGCTTCTCCTGGGGCTCGCACTCTTTTTTGTTTTGCAAGGGAACATGAGGTGTTACCAAACTGCGCTCCCAACCGCCAGTCTACAACAACGACGTCTCCCGCCTGATACAGGACTTCCTCACAACTTATTCCCAACTCGCGTTCTCGCGCGGGCCTCCTCACAATGTATACCGGAATGCAAGTCCGCATTTTCGAGACTTCTTGAATGGTCCCGCCATCCTCTTGAAGACGAGGAGGAGGACGAGGACGAGGAGGAGGAGGAGGAGAATGACGACGAGAATGTCGATGAGGAGGAGGACGAGGACGAGGAGGAGGAGGAAGAGGGGATGAGGAGGAGGAGGAGGAGGAGGAGGAGGAGGAGGAACAGGAGGAGGAGGAAGAGGAAGTGGAGGAGGAGGAGGAGGAGGGAGGAGGGGAGAGGAGGAGGAACAGGAGGAATAGGAGGAGGAAAAGAGGGAGGAGGCGGAGGAGGAGGAAGAGAGGGAGGAGCAAGAGGGCGGAGGGCGGAGGGCGGAGGGCGGAGAGCGGAGGGCGGAAGGCGCAGGGTGGAAGGCGGAGGGAATACGAGGAGGAGGACGGGGAGGAGGAGGAGGAGGAAGAGGAGGAGGAGGAGGAGGAGGACAAGGAGGAGGAGAGGGAGGAGGACGAGAAATATGCATCATACCATGAAGCGTAATAGTAATAGTAATAGTAATAGTAATAGTAATAGTAATAGTAATCGTAATAGTAATAGTAATAGTAATAGTGATAGTAATAGTAATAGTAATAGTAATAGTAGTAGTAATAGTAAAAGTAATAGTAATAGTAATAGTAGTAGTAATGGTAATGGTAATAGAAATAGTAATAGTAATAGTAATAGTAATAGTAATTGTAATAGTAATAGTAATAGTAATAGTAATAGTAACAGTAATAGTAATAGTAATAGTAATAGTACTAGTAATAGTAATAGTAATAGTAATAGTAATAGTAATAGTAATAGTAATAGTAGTCGTAGTCGTAGTCGTAGTCGTAGTCGTAGTCGTAAGACTACGAGTAATAGTAATAGTAATAGTAATAGTAATAGTAATAGTAATAGTAATAGTAATAGTAATAGTAATAGTAATAGTAATAGTAATAGTAATAGTAGAAGTAATAGTAATCGTACTTATAACAGTAATCGTAGTTCGTAAGAGTAATGGTAAGTGCACTTGTCATCGTCATAGTAATAGTATTAGTAATCGTTATAGTCATAGTACTAATACTAGTCACAGTTTTAGCCATAGTAATCGTAATAGTAATAGTACTAGTAATAGTAATAGTAATAGTAATAGTAATCGTATTCGTAATAGTAATAGTAATAGTAATCGTATTTCGTATGCGTAATAGTATTAGTAACGTAATAGTAATAGTACCAGTGATCGTAATAGTAATAGTATTAGGAATACTACTAGTAATAGTACTTGTAATAGTAATAGTAATAATGCTAGTAATAGTCATGGTACTTATAATAGTAATCGTAATAGTAATAGTAATAGTACGAGTACTAGTACTAGTACTAGTAATAGTAAACGTAATAGTAGTAGTAATCGTACTAGTAATGGACATATTCATATAATTAGTCTTATGCATAGTCATGGAAATGGTAATAGAAATAGTAATAGTAATAGTAACAGTAATAGTAATAGTAATAGTAATAGTAATAATAATAATAGTAATAGTAATAGTAATAGTAATAGTAATAGTAATAGTAATAGTACAAGTAATAGTAATAGTAATAGTAATAGTAATGGTAATAGTAATAGTAATAGTACTAGTGCTAGTGCTAGTACTAGTAATAGTGATAGTGATAGTGATAGTAATAGTAATAGTGCTAGTAATAGTAATAGGAATAGGAATAGTAAGTGTAATAGTAATAGTAATAGTAATAGTAACAGTAAAAGTAATAGTACACGCTATAGTAATAGTAATGGTAATAGTAAAAGTAATAGCAATAGTAATAGTAATGGTACTACTGATCGTAATCATAATAGTAATAGCAATAGTAATGTTATTAGTATTAGTAGTGGTAATGGTAATAGTAATAGCGATAGTGATAGTAATAGTAACCGTAATAGTAAACAGTTTTCAGTAATAGAACTCGTAGTCGTACTAACCATAGAAATAGTAACAGTAACAGTAATATGAGTAGTACTAGTAATAGTACTAGTAATCGTAATAGTTATAGTAATAGTAAGTGTAGTCGTAACAGTAATAGTAATTAGTAAGAGTAATAGTACATGCAGTTGTCAGAGTCATAGTAATAGTTTTAGTAATAGTAGTAGTCATTGTACAAGTAATAGTAATAGTACTAGTAAGTGTAATAGTACTGGTAATAGTAATAGTATTTTTTACTAGGAATATTAGTCGTACTCTCACTAGTTATAGTAATAGTAACAAGAATAGTAATAGTAATAGTACGAGTAATGGCAATGGTAATCGTAATAGTCATAATGCTAGTAGTAGTAATAGTATTGTATGTGTAATAGTAATAGTAGTAGTAATAGTAATAGTGCTAGTAATCGTAATAGTGGCAGTACTAGTCATAGTAATAGTATTAGTAATAGTGGTAGGCATAGTACTAGTAATAGTATTAGTAATAGTAATAGTAATACTACTAGTAATAGTGCTAGTGATAGTCATAGTAATAGTAATAGTAAACGTTTTCAGTATTATTAATAGTATTCGTAATAGCCATAGAAATAGTATCAGTAACAGTAAGATTAGTAGTACTAGTAATAGTACTAGTCATAGTTATAGTAAGCATACTAGTAATGGTAATAGTACTCCAGTAATAGCAATAGTAATAGTAATAGTCATAGTAATAATGCTAGTACTAGTACTAGTACCAGTAATAGTATCAGTAATATTATTAGTACTCGTAGTAGTAAGATTATTAGTAATAGTAATGCTCATTTTAATAGTAACAATCATAGTTATAGTAGTAGTAGTAATAGTGATAGTATTAGTAGTAATGCTATTAGTAATAATAGTTCTGGTAGTAACAGTAGTAGAAACAGTACGGATCATTGTAATAGTAATAGTACTGGTAATGGTAATAGTCATGGTAATAGAAACAGTACTATAAAATTGAATATCACCACGAACACTGGGAATATGGGAATAATAAGCATATCCGTACCACTACTTCTACTACTAGTGCTACTACAGCAACTACTACTACTATTGCCACTGCCACTACCACTACGACTACGACTACGACTACGACTATTTCTACTACTGCTACTACTACGACCGCTACTACTACTGCTGCTACTACTACTGCCGCTACTACTACTACTACTACTACTACTACTACTACTACTACTACTACCACTACGACTACTGCTACTACTATTAGTACGGCTACGAGTAATACTAAGACTAAGGCGGCTAAGGCGAACAACGCGAATCCCACGAAGACGACGAACACTTTATTAACAGCATGATTAGTGCTAATTGTACTACTACTGCTAATACGAAGAAGGGGTAGAGTATTAATAATACGAAGCGTACGCGTATTACTAATGCGCTCGCTCGTAATGCGGATACTAAGAAGACGATGCAGAAGAACACGGCGAGGAGAAAAAGGAAGACCATGGGGGCAGGGGGCCGCCCGCCTTCGGCGGGTCGGTGGGGCTCATGGAGCCCCACGTGGTGAGCCTGGCGCCTCCGCTTCGTTTGTTTTTGTTGCTTGGTCATTTCTCTCTCTCTCTCTCTATCTCTCGCTCTCTTTCTCGGGCCCCGTCAGGAGTGCGGCGGCCTCTAATTCTAGAGGGTCGCAGGGGTCGGGGTCGCGGGGCTGGGCGTTGCCCCCCCCCCCCCCCGGTCTGGACAAATTCCGTACGTGCGCTTAGGAGTAGAATGCAGTTGATGTTGGGGATGGGGATGTTGACGGTGATGTGGTTGATGATGACGGTGGTTTTCGTGACGGTGATGTTGACACTTATGATGATGATGGTGGCGATGATGGCGATGATGATGTTGTAGGTGCTCATGCTGCTGATGTTGTTGATGAGGACGGTGCGGATGATGATGCTGATGGTGACGGTGGTGGTGGTGGTCCTAATGGGAAGGATTTTGGTGACGGTGGTGGTAATGGGGTGACGATGTTGATGGTGATGGTAATGATACTGGTTTTGATTATCGGGTTGATTATGGTGCTAACGGTGCTGCTGCTGATGAGGATGGCGATGGCGATGCTGATGGTGATGCTGATGATGACGATGATGATGAAGCGGAGGAGGAGGAAGGGGAGCAGGGGGGTAGGAAGAGGACCTGGGACCGGTGGGAGGTGCTCATGGGGACCAGGGGCTTGTTCGTGCTGCGGGGCGAGAGCCGCTACGGCGACAGGCGCGACCCGCCCGATCTCTGCAGGGGGCCAGTTGGGAGAGGGGAGTATTACAGTCGTAGTCGTAGTCGTAGTCATAAACGTAGTCGTAGTCGTAGTATGTGTAGTCGTAGTAGTAGTAGTAGTAGTAGTGGTGGTGGTAGTAGTAGTAGTAGTAGTAGTAGTAGTAGTAGTGGTAGTAGTCGTAGTAGTAGTCGTAGTAGTAGTCGTAGTAGTGGTAGTAGTAGTAGTAGTAGTAGTAGTAGTAGTCGTCGTAGTAGTTGTAGTAGTCGTAGTAGTCGTAGTAGTAGTAGTAGTAGTAGTAGTACTACTACTACTACTACTACTAGTACTAGTAGTTGTAGTAGTAATAGTAGTCGTCGTAGTAGTAG